AGCTAAATTTTTTTCCTTTTTTTTTTTTTTTTTTTTTTTTTATCACATGCGCATTAAATTATTATTATCTTTATAGCATGACAAGAATATATTAGTGCATGACGGTAGATTAATGATTACAGATTTTGGCTTATCTAAATCACTAGACAATAGTACAAAATCTATTGATGGAGGAACATGTGCATTTTCCGATCCACAATATCTCCAAAGCCCATTTGTATATAAACGAGATAAAGCTTCTGATATCTATAGTCTCGGTGTACTTTTTTGGGAGTTATCAAGTGGTGTACCTCCTTTTAAAAATATACCTGATCAAAGAGAAATAGCCTTACTTGTAATTAGTGGCAAAAGAGAAACGCCTATTAGCGGAACTCCGGTTGACTTTATAAATATTTATTGCGATTCTTGGAACGATGATCCAAATTTACGTCCTAATATAGTTGAAATCCGTGAAAAATTAAATTATATGCGAATGATTCCAGTTTATAATAGTAAACAAGATGATAACGACCATTCAGATTTTGTTTCATCTGACCTAAGTAATGCAGATAATAACGATAATTATATTCAAGATATGAATTCAACAGGTCTATCATATTTTATTATATAGAATCAAACTTATAAATTTTACTTTGTTTTATTAATAAATACTTATTTTATTTGCTTTTACAGAACAACGATCTAATCAATTGCAAGTCTTTAGTCAAGGCTACTCCAAATTATTAGAAATCAAACCAAATAATGCAAGTGCATTATTAGGCCGTGGAACAACTTATCACATGATGAACAGATACGAAAAATCACAAGCAGATTTAAATAAATCATTAGAAATTAATCCAAATAATGTATTTACATTAGCAAACCACGGAAAAGCTTATTTCATGGTGAGCAGATACGCAGACTTAAATAAATCACTTGAAATTAATTCAAATAATGCATCTGCATTAGCATTCCGTGGAGTAAGTTATCGCATGATAAACAGATACGCAGATTTAAATAAGTCGTTAGAAATTAATTCAAATAATGCAGTTGCATCAAATGGGCGTGAGGCAATTGCGTTATGGCATCGTGGAGCAACTCATCACATAATGGACATATGTGAAGAATCGCAGTCTACGTCTAGAAATCAATCTTCCCCTAGAACGCCACCAAAACTTCACCGACACGTGACATACTGTAACGCACGCACTGATCAACAAAAGTAACGCCCGATTTTTGCTCAATATGGAAATTTTTTTATTAATAAAAATTTGACCGCACATACATAATTTTTTTTTTATTTTTTATTTAATATTTTGATGAACGACCATCTACAGCTGCAATAGCCTCGGTTCTTTGTGTCATTGAGTCTGAAACTACACGAAGAACCGAGGTATCCAAATTTGACCATGCCTCCGTCAGGGCCATCTTAAGCGCAGGTTTATCGGAAGTCATCACGGTTCTGAATATTGTCCTTCACGATCCTCCAAATGTTTTCTATGGGGTTTAGGTCAGGGGATCGTGAAGGCCAATTCATATAATCTATTTTTTTTGATTTTAACCAATTTGACACCTTGTGAACAGGGGCATTATCATGCTGAAAAATCGGATGGGAGTCGAGTAACAACCGAGCAGCAGCTATAAACGGTACGAGGTGGTCGTCTAAAACCTTGGTATAAATTATTTTAGTAATTTTTTCCTTGGGATCTTTGTAATCATCAAAAAAAACCATGGGTCCTTTAATCGTATCCACATAACACGACCAAACCATTACTGAGACCCTCCCACTCCTAAAATTCGGTTGCAAACACTCATGTTTGTATCGTTCATCCGCGCACCGCCATACTCGAACTTGGCGGGATTGTTTACCAACTTCCACACTCATTTCATCAGAAAAAATGATCCGCCGCCAAAAATAAGCGTCCTTGCCTTTATATTGGTCACACCAATCTTTCCGTCCAACTATATTGCTTGGTGACAAGAAAGGTTTCAAGGTAGCAACGCGGGAACGAAGCCCAGCGTCGTGTAAGGTTCTAGCTACGGTCTGCACACTGCATTGAAGGTTTAAATCCTTCACAATTTTGAGCAGGGGCACACGTCTTTCCTTCACCGCTTTTTTTACTATGGCGGTCTTTTCTTGCTTCTTTAGGGCGGGGGGACGTCCGGACCGAGGTAAATTTGCTATTTTTTTGGTCCTCTTATACTTCGCTAAGAACCTTCGAATTGTTGTTGGGGCACGTTTTAGCTTTTTGGCCACTTGCTCAGCACTCATTGTACTGATATAAGCAAGGACCATTCCTTTCTCTTTATCATCCATTTGTTTGCGCGGCATTTTCATTAAAAAAAAAAATTATTTGACTCTTTGGGCTTGTTTTTCCAACGTAAAAGAAGCAAAAAATAAAAAAAAATTGCCCCCAATTACGTATGTATGGGGCAAACACAGCCCCATTATTTGCTCACGTGAGGTGATCTGCAAATCGGGCGTTACTTTTGTTGGCTACTGTCCGTACGCACGTACCGGTATTCTATATACCCATACTACGTATACAATTCTTATTACCCAATTATA